TGAACAGCCTCAACAATACAAGCCTCTTGGTCTGGGACAGCATCAAGGGGCGCTCAGGAACCCGACCAGCCTTCCGCGTTGGTCAGGTCGATGCTGAACTCCTAGATGAAGAGCTTTTGGAATTACTGAAGGCACAAGCGGGGGAAGGGTTGAAGTACTTCGGGACTCATCTCAGCGACGAATACTCTGCAGAAATACTCCTTGTGCTGAGAGTGATACTGTTCAAACTGTCCATCTGGGACCACGATGCTTCGTACGGCGCAAGTCTGCAGGGGTTGCGATACACAGATGCCAGAGACAAGAGTCTATCCAGACCACCCCCCAAGCCATGGCAGAAAGCTGTGTATGGATTCGTTACGGTAGGGGGAAGGTACGCGTGGACGAAGTGGGAGGACTACCTTATCACCCAGGAGGGCGGATATGAAGAGGTAGATATACCCATTCTACGTATATTCTGCTTTCTAATCGCCACCAGCCGTCTCCAACCATATCATACCTTTCGCATCTCACAAACCGCCTTTCTACTGTCCACTCTCTGGTTTCCCTGGCCTCCTTCCTCACCTTCCTAACCAACGGCCACTACCGCACCATCCTCGACCGTCTCCTCCGTCTCCGCCTCGCGCCAACCTCCGCTCATACCTCCCGCGAAGTCTCCTTCGAATATCTCAACCGCCAACTTGTCTGGCACGCCTTCACCGAATTCCTCCTCTTCCTTCTACCCCTCGTAGGCGTCTCCCGCTGGCGTCGCATACTCGGTCGACTATGGCGGCGGACCAAACGAACCGTCACCTCCGCATTCGGAGGCCGTGCCACCTCCGACGATGACGACGAGAAAGCTGGCGGAGAATTGGCTTTCCTCCCTGAGAGGACTTGCGCGATATGCTACCACGATCAAAATCCAAGCGGCGGATCAGAAGCGGAAATGCTTGCTGCCAGCGCCACGAGCGGCGTTATTGGCTCGGCGCAGACTGATGTTACGAATCCGTATGAAGCTGTTCCGTGTGGGTGTATCTATTGTTTTGTGTGTCTTGCCCAGCGCATCGAGGTGGAAGAAGGAGAAGGATGGACTTGTTTGCGCTGCGGAGAGGTGGTCAAGGAGTGTAAGCCCTGGGATGGAGACGTAGTCATCGAAACAGAGACCCATGCGAAGAGACCGGGCAGTGGAGGAAAGAGTGTCGGATTCGCGGACGACCACAGCGAAATCGAACACAATACTACCACGGACACGGACACTGACGGCGAGGGGAAGCGCTTCGGCGGTCTCAAGGAGATGGATCCTCTGCCTGAAGTCGATGAAGAGGAAAAACGCCTTAGTCAGACCATCGAAGGTCTGGCAGATAGTGATGCGGCGAGGGAACTCGATGAGAGTGGTGAATGGGCCAGAGCGAGCAGGATGGTGGAAGGCCAGACGCCGTCCGCAAGTGTCACGGAGACAGAGACGGAAGAAGACGAGGGAGAGGCCGACGACGGGTACGGTTATGACGAAGATGAAAGTGGTTATGGTGGGTCTGGTATGGTTTCGAGAGATGAATCGGACGAAGATTGAGACTAGCTCGCGTGGCATCCTCGAGCTATTATGCGTAGACACGTTACCAAAAGACCGCTCCAGGGCTGTCAGAAAACCTACTCGACTCCGAAGGGCTGACCAGGGGAGGATATCATCGTCCCAATCCAGGGCATATCCTTCGACCTCAAGTTAAATGGTTCATCCTGGCCGGATCTCTGTCTTGTGCTTAGACCGACGGAGGAGAAGGAAGCGCTCGTGGCCAAGGTTGAATTTGGTCGGGCGACTTGAACATACTCTGGATATGATAGCGAGCGAGCAATATATACCCCAACTTGATCAGCTGTCACAACATGTGCGAGTCTCATGAATTGATTTGCTACGGCAAACGAAGAAAGGGATTGCTACCAATGTGCCATGTGCGGGTATAGTAACCAGAAACCTCAATGTTCCAACTTCCAGGCCCGTCCCATCACAGATATGTACCTCCTCTTGAACAACTCCATTGAACTCCACATACACACCACCCGAAACCGAACACTGCTTATTTGAGTGTTTCCTTAGTCGGGTTTCAACTTTGGTATGAACTGTGGAGGCTATGTTTATATCCAGCGCAAGATAGACAACTTCCAATAATCGGTGAGCTAGCCGAGTGGTTATCTCGTTCTCCAAGCTTCCTATACTCAATATCAGTCTGAAATAGTGCTGGTCAGCGGGGACATGGGTTCGAGTAGCACTCTGGCTCATCGATTATTTTTTCTGCTTTCATCTTTTTGTTTTCTTTCCCTAGGACTTTTTTCAAGGTTTGTTTGGTTAGATGCTGGAAGGAGTGCTTGATCAAAAGTAACAGCTGTAGAAAAAGAGCCGGGAATTGGAGCTGGATCGTCAGAGATCGAAGTCTGGGTCTGGGTTGGGTCCAACATCCTTCTCCTCCTTCTCATAATTCCTGATAAACTCCCACATAGCCCTCACAACCGCCACCCCACCGCCTTGCGTCTCAACCGTCCTGCCCCTGCCCATATCATTCGGATCCCTCTCCCTGTCCCTCTCCCTCACCCTCTCCCAATCCAACCTCTTCCCCCTCTCGACCCCCCAAACCCACTCATCCCTCACATTCCCAGTCCCAAACGCGCCGTTCCGATAATCCACCGCGCCCTTTCCCAATCCCTGAGACCTGCCCCCAGCAGCCCTCCCCGCCCCCTCAACCCCCTGACCCCACCACCCGCCAAACATGCCCTTCCTTCTCGTCCTTAGCGCCGCCTGCGCGTTATAAGTAACCCAGACCGCATACTCCCTACAACTGCTGCGATGCAAACCCTTAAACCAAGGATCCGCCCTCCACGTCTTGCCCGGGATGCGCGGGACCGCGGGGAGCGGTTCGCAGAACTCGGTGAGGTGGTGGAAGAATATGCCCTTGAAGGTTTGCCCGTCTTGGGAGCAGGTTGCGGAGGCGTCGCAGGATTCTTCGAGGATGCCTGCGCGGCCGAGACCGCTCCAGGGGGCGTGGGTTATGGCCGCGGAGGCCGCTGGGGAGAGGAGACCGGAGGTTGCGTCGACGTGGCCTTGGACGTCTTTCCAGCCGGTGGCGTTGATGACGTTTCGGATGAGGGCGTGGCCGTCTTCGAGGTATGCGAGGTCGCCGGTGCTTTCCCACAGGCCGCGCAGGCCCGTGAGGAGCACGCCTTGGTTGTAGGTGTAGACCATTTCGTTGCGGTTGTCGCATTTGGCGGTGCCTGGGGAAGTGTGGGTCCAGTTGTGGATGTGGAAGCCGTCGGTGTAGAGGCCGAGGGCGTTGGTCATGTTTGAGGATTTTAGCCACGTGTAGGCGGTGCGGGCTGCTGTGAGGAAGCGGGGGTCTTGGGGCTTGTAGTTGTAGGAGTCTGGGCTTGGAGGAGATTGGGGAGGGGGTGAGGAGTCGGGGTTTGGATGATTGTAGGACTCGGAGACTGGATGGGTGAGCAGAGGGGTCGTGAAGTCGGGGGTTGGAGGGTTGGATGAGGCGAATGGTTGGTCTGAGGAGGTGAGGAATGGCGAGTCATTGTCATCGCCTGGAAAATAGAGATACATAGCCGTACTGGCGGAGATGTAGAGTTCGTTCGTGATGGCGTTCTTGTAAGGCTCGAGGTGAGGATTCCAAACCATTCCACCACCGCAAAGAGAAGTATCCCATCCGTCTGACGCGAGGTTGTAGAAAACTCTTGCACGATGGGCAAACGCATTCCGGAATTGCAACCCATACCAAGTCGGCTTCTTCTCTTCATCGTCGTCTCCTTCCGTCTTCTTGTAATGCGCCGCACTATGCAGATCAATGAATCGGATGTTTTCCAGCCAGCCCAACACAACCCAAAGCATATCGTCATACGCTTGTGTCCGTATCTCAAACGCGTTCTCGCCGAAATAATATGCAACGCTTTGGCTGAAGTACTTGTTTATTTCGTTCTCTATCCGTTGCCCTTCAATGGGGATAGGGGATGTTCGAGGGCTATTCGAGGAGGCTTCGAGGACGTATTCGAGAGATCGTGTGAGCGAGTGTAGAGTCGATGACATGTATGTCCCCACGACTGCGGCGGTCCAGTCGATTGCTTCTGGCCAGGTCCCCAGCCAGAGCTCGAAATAGTGGGTTTGCATCGTCTCGAGGGCGTGATGGAGCTGCTCGAGAGCTGTGAGGGGCATAGAGGAGGCTGTGGCATCGTCTTCTACACCAATTTTGTCTCCATCAAATCCCACCGGTACTTCATGCTCTTCCAATCCATCTCCTTCTCGCTCAAGCGCTCCAGTAAATGCCCCTGGGAGACTCCACCGCTCCACCCGATACTCGCAATTCATACAATTTTTCCAAACCAACGAACTCCAAAGAAGATAAAGCACAGCTACACAAGCCGCCATAGCGACGAGCCAATGCCGGCCTCGAGTCCGTCTCGTGGGACGGTCCTCCACATCGCGGGAAAGAGCCCATTTCTCGTCCATGGCGAAGGATATAGACACAGCGCCTGACTCCAAAGGCCAGCCACGAGGAACAGCAAAACGTCAAGGGGGTATATATTCAGACATTAAAAGAAGAGGGGTCGAAGGACATGTACAACTGGGGGCGGAGTTGGAGGTTGTTCAGCTGAAGCACGAGGTCGCGCTTCTGTCTCATTGCCCCTCCGCGCCTCAAAACTTGGCGAATTGGCGAAGCGGAATGGGAATTTGGCTGATTTGACAGGATTAGGGGGTTGAAGTGGTGAAATTGAAAATGGGAATGTTTTGAGGAGTTCTCTTTGGAGGCTTCTCTCTCAGTCTTTCGTTTTCAAGTAGTTCGATCTCCTTTTGTTCATCAAGTTGCAGTTCAATCTTCTTGAAACCTAAAGCTTATCGATAAGAGGCTCATCAGCCATCACCGACCTCCACACCACCACCCCAACCCTCAAAACACCAAAAAAAACATAGAATTCTTTCAAATCTGATTCCCCAGATCATTCCAGGCTCCAAAAAACCAAAAAAAAAGAGCTGATGCTGACAAGGGCGAGACTCGAACTCGCGCGGTTTTACCCACTAGTAAGTTTGAAAACCTTTTCGGAATCTAGTGTATACCAGAGCCTGAAACTAGCGCCATAACCACTCGGCCACCTTGCCTTAATAATTTTCTCATTTCAGGATTTAGCTGTTCTATAATGGCTGCAGTTTTTTGCCTGGTTTGAAGGGAGGATTTGGGAAGTGACCAAATCGTTGTCGTTGTGGGAACGTGGTGCGTGGGCAGCATTTTAGCCGAGGACCAGGTGCCGGGTGGAGCTGCATATCAGAAGTTGGGTCTGACTGCTTGCTGAGTCACGTTTTAATTAGGGAAAAAAATCAGGGGAAGCAAATGTGTGGTTCAAACGTCAATTCTAAGCGGCATGTCAGGTGTGCACAATAACCTTTCCAATCTATCTAAGTCACCAGAAGAGCGTGCTCGAAATAGTCTTATACGCTACACAAGAATGCCACTCAAGCCTTTGACATCCAAAAAAGCTTCCGGGTTCATTGCAGTCAGGGGGTTGATTCTCCACTCCAAATATCCCATGCCTTCTGTACGTCAACAGTGGAACACCGCAGAGATGCCTACACCCCAAAGGCTCTTTGACGTGCTGTTGCCAGTGCGAGATGTGAAGCAGCTAGGCAATACGTTCGAAACCCCTGAGGTTAGGTCATGAAGAGGAATCTACACACTGTTCGGCTTGACGGGCGGGGCGCTCATTTCGGGGATTATTTCCATAGACCGGAAGCGAAGCACAGCAAATATTGAAGTACACCAATTTGCACTACTACTGTCAGTATCAAACAAGACGGTTTGCAGAGACAGGTACTTACAGAAATGTGGTCAAAACGGCCTGCTACATGAAGCAGCAAGCCTACAGTTTTGGATTGTCTAGAACAAATAGCATAGCCCATGGCCCTTCATGCCTAGGTCCCGACAATCCGTCGATTCTCATGGAGCATTAGATTCTTCCAATCCTGTTCGTGGAGCGCCAACCGCCATTTCAAGTGATATCTAGAGTGCCCGTGTAGTGTGTGCTCATCGATCGTCCGGAGTCCGGCTTCGGCTCCGGCGCCGCTCTCCTCGATTTCGATTGCCGCGACCGCGGGAGTTTTTCTCTTGAGGGGGTCGAACGAAGGCGAAGTCAACATGAAGAGTGCGCTCGAACAACTCCTCCTTCGGGGCAGATTGAACCGCAACCATGGCTTCCTCGACTGTAGCATATTCGACGAGCGCATATCCCTATGATTTAGATGTCTTGTCAGCTAATAATCAGGAGTAAAACCAGGCTCTCTTGCGAGAACTGGCCCAGGAACTTTTCAAGGAGCATTCGTACCTTCGTATAACCGGTGCGTCGATCAGTGGGCATGAAGAGATTCTTGACAGCACCAAAATTGTCGAAGAAGTCGTGCAAGTCTTCCTCGGGGCAATCTTCGTGGATACCTGTCACCATGACAGACCAGCCTTCGGTGGAACGAATTGCGACCGCACCCTCCTCAGTTCGGGCCTCAGTACCGGGTCTCGCGGGCGCTTCTTCATCGGCGGGGACTTGTTCATATTGGTCGTCATCTTCCATTCGGCCGTCCTGCTCGTCATCGTATTGCTGGTCGACTTCCATGTCCTCCTTTGGGTCAGCCATTGTGCGGTATTGGAAGGATTTGGTGCGCTGTTGAGAATGGATAGAGATTTTCAAGGGGGAAGTCGACTTGAGGGAATGTAACGTGTATTTGAGGAGCAGACAGCAGCAAGCGGTTTTGCAGACACAATGCGACAGCTCGAGGAATTAGGTGGACAAGCGTCGGGAACCCTGAGGTCCTCCAGTTGAAAAGAACGCTCGGACCAGTGATTGTCTATCACGTGACTGGCGCACAACAAATCTTGGCAGGTCAATTTCGCGACGGGCAACTCCAACCTCAACTCCACGTTAAAGCCCACAATCAAAGCATCTGTCTAGCCTCCACCCTTAAACCACCCACCCACACATCAATCACCATGGAGAACGAGAAGGGAGAGCTCGTCGACCTGTAAGCGTCCCTCCATTCCGCGACTCCAGCGTCTTCTCTCTTCTATCCAGTTCGCTCACAGAACGCTCCAGCTACGTCCCTCGCAAGTGCTCTGCCACCAACCGCATCATCAAAGCCAAGGACTTCTCCTCCGTGCAAATTTCGGTTGCCAAAGTCGACGAGAACGGCCGCGCGACCGGCGAGATCCAATCATATGCTCTTTGCGGCTTCGTGAGGCAATCAGGCGAGGCCGACGACTGCCTCAACCGTCTGGCGCAGAGGGATGGGTTCTTGAAGAGTGTATGGAGCGCAAGCCGCTAAAGAACTGAGTTGAGGTATGTCGCCTCTGGAGACAGTTGAGAGAGTTTACGCTGATTCATTGGATAGCAAAGGGATGACGGGACGGATATGTGCATGACAAGGCGCGGGATAGGAATGAGATGGTTGATGGTCGCGAATTCAGAGCTGCTTCATGAGCTCGCCTATTGCTCCGATCTCCATATCGACTTCGAATGATAGTCGGAATCAAATCCTACCACCCATTGGCAACAACATCGTGCACTCCGAAAACTCTCCACGCCACTGACATTCTGCAAGCCGCGATCATGTTCAACACACGCGGCCACAATGGTTTATCTCACGCTCACTTCGGTGGTTTCATGGCTGAGATGGCTTCAAAGTGCCTTTACCACTTTCCCCCGCAAGATCAAAGTATACGGTCTTAAAAAGCCCTTGGCTGTTTAAGATAATTGGTCAGAGTACAGATACGGGCCGTACATACTTCTTTTAATTATATTCGCCGAAGGAAATACAAGTTCCAGGTTCGTCCAACTACTAGTTCGTTTCCGGCGTGGAAAGACACTCGAAGAACTTCAATACTTCCTATTTTTGCCATCTCATTTCTCCTCTACTTTTCCGTTCACAGCATCCGGTCTTATTCGTGGGCGTCGACGTGCCAAGCAAAATACCGGTAATCTCATTCTCTGCCTTCAACAGTCCCTATGATCCTTCATGTTCGCAATTTGAAAGTCGTCTTCTCTCTACCTTCTTCTCTCGAAACAAGTATACTTTGGCGGGGTTATAGGATATGAAAGTGTTGATTCCCGGCAAACAAGAATACGTGTGGTTCGGGCGCAGGTCCGATTTTTGAGGTCGTTGTTCATGACCAATGGAGTACCTTTCGCTTTGTTTCGGAGTACTCCCTCCGCCTCCTGGAGCCAGAGGCAAACCAGTTGTTTTCAAGAAAAGCATCTCGAAAACGGGACAACCGAAAACAATGCCGTCGCCATGTTTTGATTTTGCACAATGCGGAGATCTTCCAGAAGGCTGGTCTGAATCTGTGCTCCTGTGATTGATCTGTCGCCGCCTGCGGCCGCTACCAACCACAACCCTTTTCGACAAACCTCCAGCGAAGGCTCTCCCCATTGGATCTGAACTATCCGAATCAGATCGCCCCACGACAGCCATGTGGTGATTTTGCGCAAACAAGCAGGCTTCGAGAAGGTTGTCAAGGGCACCGGCTCACCGCCAGCCGGTTGCTTAATCCGATTGAAAGGCTTGTTTGATGATCTAAACACGCCAAAGTGGCTATTTCACACCTGTCGTTTATTATTCCGAAACAAAAGTGGCTCGTCCTCCTATAGCGCCCCTATAGCATTGGTGATGTGGTCGGTGGTGGGTGGTTGGGAAGAGGTGAGATTGGGTGCACGGGCCACCCCGTGGCCAGCCCTAAGGCTAGCAGCGACTAGCGCGAGGCTGGTTGCACCGCCCAACCATCACCAGCCTCATTGTTTACAAAATCGACATGGCGAGAAGGGGTTGCGACGTCAACCTTCTAGAGATGGTAGAAGGTATATAGTTCGCTGTCGCGGTAGGTCCAGAGTCTCTCATCATCCACCAAACAATTCCAACAACAACAACCACCACCACCACTCCTCTGTACAAATAAATTTTCCTCCTTTGATCAATTGCACATACATCAGCTTTTGCACAATCATCTCCAAGTCGCATACCAGCTCCTCGAGTCAAAAGTCACTCCACATCTACTACTTCATCCAGTAGCCATCCATCCTACCCATCCAATTCTACCCATCCAACTCCACCCATCCTCATCCTCATCCAATCCACATCCATCAAAATGTTCACCACCACCACCCTCATCTCCCTCGCCCTCTCCACCCTTTCCCTCGCTGCCCCTCAATACAACGACGGCATGTGGAACCCTTCCCCCGCAGTCGTCGAAGCAACATCCGCAGCAGCCGGCGCCTGGGGTGAAGCAACATCCGCAGCAGCTGGCGCTTGGGGTGAAGCAACTTCCGCCGTCGTCTCCGGTGCCGTCGAGGCAACCTCCGCAGCCGGCGCCGCTGGAGGCGACTGGCAAACCGCAGTGACCTGGCCCGCAGGCTGCGAGACTTGGGCCAACCCTTGCCCGTCCGGCGCCGTCGTCGCTGGCGGAGGAGCCGTCGCTACTCCCACCCCCGCTGCTTCTGAAGCACCCGTCGAGAGCGCCTGGAACCCGACCGAGAGCTACACCAACGGCTTCACCTCTTTCCTCACCCAGACCGACTCCAACGGCGTTGTCACTGGCATGCCGACTGTGGTGACGAGCCAGCCTGCTGTTGTTACCGCGCAGAGCGAGCTTCCTTCCCTCCCTGCTGTCGCGGAGGTCTCGAGCAGCGGCACCGCTTCTTCGAACAGCAATGCTACTCTCTCCACCAGCACTAGGTCGCCTTCTTCTACCACCACTGGCGGCTTCTCCGTTGAGACTTCGACTGGCGGCGCTGGATCTCTCAAGAGCACGAGTTTCGGCGCTCTTGCCATTGCTGGACTTGCTGCTGTTGCTGTTTTGTAAAAAGAAAGAACTTGGATTAGATGGAGGCAGTTGGACGTAATTTGAACACTTAGCGAGCATCATGGGACGGCGTATTCGGGACTTTTGGCATTTTGGGATTCGGGACTTTGGGAAATACTCAAGAGGAAGATGGCATCTGACGAAGTAATGGCGGGACCATGGATCGAGATGACTGATTTGATCGGATCGGATCGGATAGAGAATGTATAAAATGGACTGTATGTAGTAATAGATAGATATCAATCGAGAACATAACCAAAATACC